TCCGGTTGGAAATCCAGGTCCATCCGGTCTCCCCGGTGCTAAAGGTGACGATACCCGATACTCATTTCGAACGATTAACCTTTCCTTCTCTTCGCCTCGTTATTCATTTGATCGCGTCAAATATCGTTTCAGGAGACGAAGGTCCACGCGGGCCTACGGGAGTCCCTGGATTGACGATCAAGGGCGAGAAAGGTTTGCCGGGTATGCCTGGAAAGCATGGACGGGAAGGAATACCTGGACGACCGGGAGAGAAAGGGGAACAAGGATTGCCAGGTTTACCTGGACACAAGGGAGAACGTGGACCGCCGGGTCCCATCGGGTTACAGGGTGAAAAAGGTGACATGGGTCTCATGGGTCCTCCTGGTTTACCGGGTCGCGATGGCCAACCAGGAGCCAAAGGATTCCCCGGTTTGCCGGGTGAGAGAGGCGAGAAAGGAGACGCTGGTTTGCGAGGACCACCCGGCCCCATTGGACAGAAGGGAGAACCCGGATTCCCTGGTAAATTGAAAAAAATTCGTATACCGAACGAGAATCGCGCGTAATAGATCGTAAAACAGATGTACAAATTGGTGGAAATGCTAATAACGCTTGAGCTCGATACAGGACCGAGCGGAATAGATGGAATCCCCGGTGAGAAAGGCGATAGAGGTTGGGACGGTGTGAGCGGGCTGCCCGGTCCGGTCGGAGAGAAAGGTGACAGAGGGTATCCAGGTCCGGTAGGATTGATGGGTGCCGTCGGATACGTCGGTCAGAAAGGCGACAAGGGTGACGACTGCATCGAGCCACCGATGGGACCGAAAGGAGATCGCGGTTTCCCTGGTACGCGTCTAATATTAATCGAAACGATCATCTGGAATCGAGATTTTGCATCCGTTCGGTTTTCTTGCAGGATCGGTCGGCCCGCCAGGACCGCCGGGGGAGAAAGGAGTTCCAGGTCCGCCAGGATTCCCGGGATCGAACGGAGTGAAAGGCGCGATAGGGCTTCAAGGGCAGCCAGGGCCTGTCGGTTTGCCGGGTTTACCGGGACCTGTCGGCGCGCCTGGGTTACCAGGTCTTCAAGGGCCGGTCGGTGTTCCGGGTATACCGGGAGAGCCGGGTCTACCGTGCGAGTCTGCATCCGATTATCTTACCGGTATCTTGTTGGTGAAACACAGTCAAAGTCAGTTAGTGCCTGTTTGCGACGCGGGGCACATCAAACTTTGGGAAGGATACAGTTTGCTGTTCACGGATGGCGATGAAAGGGCGCACTCGCAAGATTTAGGCAAGTCCAAAATTTATCTAGATATCTAGATCCTAAGTTTTTTTCCATCTTACGATCTAGTTCCGAAATCGTCACGCGTTTCGTAATATTCCGATCCTTGCGCGCGCCACGAGTTCCCTTCCTCCTCTCTTCTCTTATCTGATCTTATCTAATCGTGAAACAGGTTATGCCGGTTCGTGCGTACGAAAGTTCTCGACGATGCCGTTCCTCTTTTGCGATATAAACAACGTTTGTCACTACGGTAACCGGGGCGATCGTTCTTATTGGTTATCCACCACTAGTCCAATTCCCATGATGCCTGTCCAGGAATCGGAGATAGAACAATACATCTCCAGGTATGTTTTTACGTTAGAAAAAAGTCTTTAATTATTTTTTAACGTAGGATGATCGATTCGTAAGAACCGTGTATACGCGTGTTCCATATTTAATTTATCTTACCAATGTTAAATTAACTTATTATCATTCGATTCGAAGTAATTATTATATGCCAAACTAAATTTCGAAACGAAATTTTATTCTAACGTGCAAATTAGATGCAATTTCAACGAATGCAATGTTTCGCTTTGTTGTAAAGTTTACAAACGTATATCCGTGAAAATATATACGAGAATAGATTGAAAACCGAATTGTTCATTTAACGTATACTTGTTGTTAATAATTTAATTCCTTCCGCCACTTGAGAGGATAACAGTCGTTATAAACGATATAAATATAAATTATATAAATTTAATAAATTTCATCTTTCGAATCAACCAATTACTATCGTTCGACAAATTCGGACAAAAGATCGATTAAATTTTCTTTTTCGTCTCATATAGATGCGTGGTGTGCGAGGTTCCGGCAAATGTGTTGGCCGTACACAGTCAATCGTTGAATATTCCAGATTGTCCACAAGGATGGACTGGTCTTTGGATCGGATACAGTTTTCTCATGGTACGGATATTATTTCTCGTAAAAATTTTCGTCGTCCTGGTGAAGAAAGCGAGACGAGTATGGAAAAAAAAAAAACGTTGGATAATTTTTTGCAGCACACGGGCGCTGGTGCCCAGGGCGGAGGACAATCCTTGTCCAGTTCCGGATCCTGTCTCGAAGACTTCCGTGCAACGCCGTTCATCGAGTGCAATGGTAATAAAGGACAGTGTCATTATTACATGAACGAGATCAGTTTCTGGATGGCCACTATCGAGGACAGACAACAGTTCCAAGCGCCTGAGCAACAGACCTTGAAAGCAGGCAATCTCAGATCCAAAATAAGTCGCTGCCAAGTGTGTATAAAGAACGCGTAAATTCATGCAAACCCGCGTGTCTATTCTTCCCCACTTTTCTTTTTTCCCCGGGTTTTTTTTCCATTTATCTTTTCACTGCCCTCTTTTCCTTCTCCCTTTTTTTTTCTCTTCCTTGTTTCTTTTAAAACGGCGACAATCGTCGTCCGTATCGCTAACATCGTAGAAAGGAATCGAGTTTGGAAGGAAAGGATAGCCCACGACGAATAGACGATCTCGCGGTGAAAATTTCGAGATGAAGAGAAACCAGAGAATTTTTTTTTTTTTTCTCTCCCTCGTACCCCTTCCCTCCCCCTCTTTTTTTAAATTCCGCCGCAAATATCTTATCCTTATTTTAATGCTGCCATCTTTTTC